GCATATTTATACTAATATCAATAGTCAACATTACCATAAATGCTTTCAGTCTGCAAGTATACATCAATAAATCCTATATAAATATATGTATGTATGTATGTATATAATAGATAGATAGATAATAGATTAGCGCTTTCATGGGCCGAGCTTCACATCCGATTTATGGCGTGCGCCTTGATGTTGCCCCTCAAAGGGGAGCAATCTACAGTTTTATTTTTATAAGAAGCTGTTTTTCATGGCATTGATACGCTCGGAGGTTTGCCATTGCCTGTCGAGTGGCGACCGCTATTAGAAATAAAAAACTTTTTTTGCGTTTTATTTTTTGATGTTGGACTTAACCGGGCTTGAACCCAGGCCCTGCGAAGTGGTAGCGCGCACTGCTAACCACTACACCACAGCGGCCACCATGTATGTATGTATGTATGTATATGCATACAGTTATAGATAAGTATGTCCACGCAAATCCTTGAATGCAGATTATGAGGACACTGCAGAAGATTAAATTTCAATAAGCCTTTAAGTACTTGCAACATATTGTGCCAATTTGTGCGCTAGTAGCGTCCGACGAAGTAATACATACTTATTTAGTTAGCGAGACTGGCAAGCGGCTAATGATATTGCGCGAAAATGAAGAAACAATGTTGCAATTAGTTGGCATTAAAGTTAGCGAATAACAGCTATTTGAATTAGCAGAGCGAGCAGGAGACCAAGCCAAATTACAATGGCTGTGTTGCAAACTTAAGTCGGCAGAGGAAAATGGCAAAAGTGAATTATAGCGTAGACACATAGTAGGTAGCTTTTGGTGCCAGATGTATTTGATTGGCACTCAAACTAATTTTGTTGGGTTTGAAATAAAGTAATTTTTTGCTTACCTTAAAATCAATATCTGAATGACGATTCTCTTTCAGATATAAATTAAAAATACAATCAAAATTTCCTGTAAATTAAATTTTTTTATTATTCTTAAGTTATTTTTTACACAACTATTTTTAACTTAAGTACTTTGTTTATTTGGAAATTTTAACTAAATACATGAGAGTTGAAGTGTTAGAGATGAGCACTCACTTTTTTGCCAGCAATTGGCGTTATCGCTTCTAATTCACTTAGTGTTTTACTTTTATTTACAATATTTTTATAGTAAATTTTTTCATAATTGTAGTACATAGTCGTAAATATAATAGAGCTATGTTACTATATTTTTTTATTTTTTTTATGTTAAGAAGAATGCATTATTTTAATATAATAGACAATTCCAATTAGATAACTTTTTATTGAAAAATAAAGGAACGTAATTTTTTCTGCAAAAATATAATTCAGTCGAATTTTGAGTAAAATTTGGTAACTACATATGTTTAACGCATATCACTGTATTCCGCATAAAAAAGAAATATTTCATATTACATATTATGTATTAGTTAATTGCTTTTTACAAAAATTATAAAATGTTTAACTTTGTTATAATTTTTTGATTTTATGTTAATTTAAAATAACTAGTCATTTGTTTTTAACTTAATGCCTATACATATTACTTACTTATGGGGCATTCCAGACGAATTCGGAAACAATTTATCTTTTGTGTCTTCGATTTTTTATAGATCTTACGTTGTGATAGCAATTGTGAGAGGCCTCCCTGATTAAACAAACTTCGGTTAACTTCTTCGAGATAGATATTGATTTTTGAAAAAACTTTGATTTCTTTAAATGCCCATAACTTTGTGAAAAATGGGCCGACTGGGAAAATTTTTTATAGCAGCGGAATAGCTGCGTTTAATTTTAGTTGGCTTAACAAATAAAAAAACTGGATAAAGTATTAACAGTTTACGTAGCGAACTTAGCTCAGCTGGTGGACTGCTGGCTATGGCGGCTGGGGTCGTTGGATCGAATACGAGTTGAAAGAAGTCTGATGAGGAGACGTGGTTATCTCCGAAATAGCAGCTATAACTTCTACCACATGGTAAATTGTATTTTTTTTTTACAAAAAATTTTCATTAAAAACGGTCTCAAGCTCAATAAAATAATTAAAAATTTATTTAAAAAAAAACTCTCACTGAGCCAGTAACTTTTTAGCTAAGTCCGATAAGGGGATAACAATAGGATGTCTTTTTTCATACTTTAAAATTAAATGAATTTTAAAATTTTTCCAACTTTTAAATTTTAATTGTTTAATTTCAAATCAAAACATAAAATAATTTTATACTTATTCTTAAGGGGTTTTCATAGTGAAAATTTCCAAAAACAAAATTAACTCTTTTTTCAACAAGCGATATCTCAAAAACGGATAGGCGAAAAAAATAGCCTCTATTAGTTGGTCTACAATATAGAACATTTAAAAAAAAAATAAATAATCATACATGCAGAGACCAAATTTTCTCCAGATTGAGCTAGAATGCCCCATATATTTATGGTTTAACCTTCGGAAAACGAAATCATAAGGCAAAAGAAAAAATTTCTTTATTTGACTGGCTCGCAGACTCGGTTTTGAAAAATAAAAATATTTGAGTTAATACTTTACAATGAGTGTCTATTTCTGCAACTTGTCAAACATGGGTAACTAAGTATTAGGTTTCTACTGAAAGTGGGATGCAATGCCAAGGCTATGCGAACGATAAATGCTGATGTGCCAAGTACTTAATTGGTTGTCCTGCCGAAACCGCCATGCTTACTAAAACATGAACCATACCGTGGATGAAGGAAAAAACCTGGATCTGTGGTCAGCGTCGCCAGCGAAATAAAGTATGTGGGTCTGGGGATGTAGCCCAAGATTCAACGTCATGACAGTACAGCCAATTGTAACCTAAGGGCAGTAGCTGGGGTTAAAAGAACTACTCTGGCTAAAGGGAGACAATCGTAGACCAAGCTACAACGACTGGCCTATATATGCATATCTGGTATCAAAGAGTTCTGCTTTGCTTAGCTAGAGAAGTATTTGGAAGAGCTTAGATTATATTTTCTAAGAAAAGGTGAATCCCGGTCCTTCTAGCACTGTCCCCTAGAGATGACATAGTGAGAACCGTAGTCCTTGAGAAGTGGCTTAAAATATAGTTACGCGGCAAAGAAACCTGGAGCGTCTACGTCTATGACGATTTTCGACCGCAATCCGAATGAAATTTTGCGCCATTTTGTAGTCGTGAACGGAATGTGAATGCATCACCATAAACCACGAAACAGTTACGTTAAGTATACAGTAAGTAAACAGTATACGTTAAATAGATTCGAACAGTGTTGCCGCATCAAAGATATTTTTTTCTATTGAAATTCCCGAAAAAATCTACAAAAAAAAATCTAAAAGTGGAAAACGACTCAAATTGTTTTGAACAAGGCCGACAGAAAAGCACCTCATTTCGAAATTCCACTTCAAGAAAGGCAAGGATACAAAAATACTTTGTGCTAGAAAGAGCCGTTCATGAAGGGTCCGATCAATCACGATGAAAATTAGATAACATTAAAAAAATATTTTTGCGAAATCCTCCAAAAACAAAATTAATCTACCACAATTGAAATTTCGAAAACTATTTTCGAAAAAAGTTTCTAGACTTCAACCAAAATGGCAACACTGTTTTCGACACCGATTTGAAGGAAATGTGATCGCATTTGTTAAAGAAAAACGTGCTCCTCCACCAAGAAAATGCAGGGATCGGACATAAGGTAAAAATTTCTTGACCTAGGTTGCGAATTGCTATGGAGTACTTTCTGAATTTATAGTAAGTCGTTGGACTACTGTTTCTTATTTCAAATCCTGAAAAAATGCCTCTATTATAAGAGTTTGAGTGGAATGAAGAGGTCACCACTGAATCAAACGACTATTTTGGTATAAAAAAAACGCAAAAATTCTGAAGACTTAATGAGGCAATGTTGAAGACTAAGGAGTATGAGTAATAAATTACTTGATAAACAAAAAAAAAGTTATTTCCTTCAAGAAGTCATTGTCTTTGTAAACTCTTGTATTCACTAGAAATCCCGAGAACTTTTAAAGTGCTTTGGGATTAAATAAAAGTTAAAGATGGTTTGGTTATATAATACATACCAACTTAATTACCGAGAGAGAAGGATGACACATCCCTTTCGGTGATTTTTTGAAAAAATTTATCACCAAATATTTTTACTTGCATTTCGATGGATTTTCTTCTGCTATTTTTGATATTTAAAATTATCTTAACTAACTTTAATTTAGTTTGTGTTTTTATTTTTTATTTTATTTTATTTTATTTTTTTCTTCGTATCTCATCCTTACATTAAGCAACTTACTGGTAATTAACTACAGTGATAGACATAATGTAGCCACTGCAAGCCTATACTTAGTTTTTATATCAAAATTGAATGGGCTATGAAACTGAATACACAATTTTTTTCATTAAATTTTAAATAAAAAGAGTGAAATTTTAACGAAAGTTTGCTGAATTTTAAACAATTTTATACAAATATTGAAATTTTGATTTATATGCGCTTTGTCGTGGAATGAACTTTACTTTTACAAAAAAATTATAAAAAAAAAAATTGTCTAAACTTATCAATATGTGTGTGACCTTATCATTATGTCTATACTATATTTGTTATCTTATCATTATTTTCATGCATTTACTTACTTTTTAGCTATTTTTGTTAATCAAAATTTCTCTATGTATTTTATTCGCTTGAGTTTTTATCTAAAAGAGACTTAACTAAATTACAATCTGGCAACATTTTTTCTTTTTCAATTAGTTATACTTTAAATTTACAAAAGATCTTTCTTATCATTTAAGTTCCACTATAAATGTATGTACAATTTACAAAAATCACTCCATATTTTTACTTTCTCATTTTCCATTTGTTAAAAGCCTAATCAAATTAGTTTGTGAAAATAGTAGTTTGATTTTTTTTTTTACAAAATTATCGTTTTGAGTAAAAGAAAATCATTTGTAATAAAAAATGCTTCAAATTGATATTTTTGATTCTTTTATTTTTTAGTACTTAAATATGCATTTATATATTACATAGCTAAAATTTAAAATATACTTTTCCTATCGGATTTTCATTACAAAATGCACTACACTCTTATCAGTTGTATATATTTACTTTATCAAAGCACTAACTTAAACACACACTTGCACACATAGATAACTACATACAAATTTTGATTTACTTCCACATTTAACTGTTCTAATTATTTACTACATATGTACGTGCAGCAAGCACACTTACCTACATACTTATACTAAGTATAGAAAACGAAAAAAAAATACACTCAAATGTGGCAAGTCCGTGTGTTAAATATTTTTGCTGCTCATCGTAAGTCGGCTCTCTAATTCCATAAAAAAAATGATTTTTTTTTTTAATTCTCAGACTACTGCACATCATTACGGGTTTTTTTCTATATTTTTTGTATTCATCCTAATTCGTTCACTTGCCCTTAAATATTAACACACGCCTATATACTTACTATAATTATACGCATATTTATATGTACATATGTACTTGAAAATATAGTTATGCTGCCGCCTATTCAAAGCCTCATTACATTATTCAACTTAACTAACTACTCGTACATATGTATATGTGTTGGTGTAGTTTTGTGTGTCTGTCAGTGTGTGTGTATAAGTTGCTCCAGTTTCGCGGCCATATAGCGCGCTTACCCAAATAAATTTTTGTGTGTGTTTACATTTTGTTTATTTTTGTTTGCAGTCCCACCTTTTTTACTATGTAAACATACATACGTATGTATGTGTTCATATGTGTATGCGCAGTTTCACTTTGATGCGTCATTATGGCCGTTGTTGTCTCATCTGTAATTATCCCAGGTTTACATGTATATATGTCTGTAGTATTCGGTAGGCCATAGCTATTATGGCTATAATGCCATGCAAATGAGTTTGATATGATTTAGTCGAGCCGCCGACATGCCCATGATACATCGCTGCTGGATTATCACCTGTTGAGGAAGAATAAAATGTAAACGCGCTGGCTTAGTTAAAATGTTTAGTAATGGCAGTGTAAAAAAAAATTGCATGTTATTAGCAATTAAAAGCGATTACAACCAGATCATGAGAGATTAAATTTATTTTCTTTGGTTTCCTTTACATACGGACAACATATTTGTATGATTAATAATCGGTTTGACCCATAAGGTATGTGCGCTAAAGATAGGCGGTGGGATTGCGCAAAGCTACGAATGATTTTAGCATGAATTTCGTATCCTATTTACAACTCGAATAAAAAATAAAAATTTTATTGTGAAGACTAGATATTTAGCCCACACAAGCATCCTAAACACTATAATCCAGCAATACGAACGACATGACACGATACCAGAGCAATATGGCATTGTGTGCCTGCATACACCCAACGAGACAAGCCGCAACAACGTGTAGCCCATCGCCATCATGTAACCACACGGCCAAAGAGCCCCACTTAGGCGGCATATAAAAGAAGCGACACAACCTAACAGGATAGTCAGCGGCTGAATAGCAACAACCGTATGGAGGGATTGCTTGTGATTCTTTATATAACACCACAAGACACTACCACTCCGAAGCAGAGAACCATAGATCTAACCGAAGTGAGGTCGTCGGACGGAATCTCATTCTCCCGAGCTTAAAATCGGCTCCGGTATACCATCCGCCACAAGCTACCGTGAACTCACGTCACGGCGACAGGCAATCGTTCGCAATGTTCCGTTCACTAGCGTTAGCAGAGCGCCGTTCACCAGCGCCGGCACAGCTCCATAAGTAGCAGACGAGACCCACCCCTACAAGACAGCTGAGTATCATATGAGTACTCATATTATCATTACCCCTAATCACAAAAGTGCTTATCAAAGTCCTCATTTTCGTTCAGGCCATGGGAAAAAATTGAGTACTTTCCCCTCAATGTTGTCATCAGAAAGTCCTCAGTACTAATAGTCAAACTACTCATTTATGCCGTACTACAAAAACAAAAGTGTAAATGTGTGAGAATTTTTGCCTAAAGTGCTCAGCAATGTCTTGTAGGGACTGGGCCTCTACTGGACCGCAGACAGGATTCTGAATCACCGAATAACCAGTGTAAAGCAATTCAATATATTGAACTAAGAAAGTATAAAAAGTAAAATAAATAGAGATCTAATTATAAGCACCTCCGAACTTACATATTTATTGTGAACGAACCCTGGGATTGGCGAGATTAACTCAACAGCGCTTCGGTATATTATTTGGGAAATAAACACCAGGGGCATATTCATAGTCGTAATAAAGTCGATTATAAAGATAGTTCCCTCTGTCTCTCTCTCTCTTCTCATTGAGAATTATGTTAAAAAGCCGCAACTACCTCTAGTGTCGACTTTATTTTGACTAAGAATTTCCCCTCTAATGGAAATTTACATGACGCAACTTTCACTGACGATTAGTTGAGTCAAAAGTCGAACGAAAGTTGGCAAGTAAAATTTGGGAAGTAAAATTTCCAGACTAAGGTTACTCATACGCATAGGCGGTCTCTAAAACAAAAATGAAGTTTTAGTTTATTAATTTTATTGTGGCGTATTCATGTTTTGAACCACGATTTTTTTGATTGGAAGAATGGAAAATCAACAAAGTCTAAGCGGTAGAAGTTATACGGGGTCTGCATAGCGCAGTGTACATCCGAGATGGGTTTTCGAACCCTGCTGAGGTCTAGAAAGAGAAATCTGATGAGGAGATGTGGTGATCTCCAAAATAGCTGCTATAGCTTCTAACGCTTAGACTTTTTTTTTTATTTTTCCTAACAAACAAATCGTGGTACAAATCTTAATACCACTGTTGGAATGAAGTTTTAGTTTGTCTACTGAACCTTTTTATTGCCTAATGTGGAAATTAGTTGTACAAAATATTAGGCAACCTTTTCTTTTAACAAAAACTTCATATTGCACTGTGACTTCTGAAATTAATGAACCGAAATTTTTCTTACGAATAAAGTTTAAAATTCGCTTTTAAAAACTAAATTTTATGGTTTCTTGTGTATTTGACTTGACACTCCAAGTTCGTCGCTAACGGCTGCCATGTTTTCGGGAAGAAGTGCAGCAAATAGCGCTGAGAGCTCCACTTTTATGCGCTTTCTCTAGAATCCTTGAGATTATTTCAATTTAATGAACTCCTGTAAGATACCTTGTGACTTAAATTATGGAGGGAACACATGTCCACCCTATTGAATGGCAGCAGCTACGAAAGTTGCCAGAAAGGCAAACCCGAGCCTCCAGTCGATGATGCAGGTGTCGATTTTCCACCACCTGACTATGACGAGGTGCTTTGTTTAACTCGGCCAAAATCTCCTAGGCGCTTACAAAACCCAAGAAGAAGAAGGGGAAGAATAAATAAGCCTCCATGGTTATGCATGGTAACAGCCACTTAAACCTAATCAAAAATCAGAACCCAGTTAGTAACATGGCCGCTGGCCGATAAAGTACTATTATACTTTCGTCATGAGGAACGGGACACCATAGGGCTGTACGGCTGACAGTAAAAGACATATGTTTGCTATGGCAGCAAACATAAAATTTGCAAATGCAATTCCAACTGCAAATCCAAGAACATTTCCACAACATCCTGAAGAGCGCTAATATATTTCATCGGGATTTATTTGTCCACAGAATCTGTATGTTGGCTTTACCTCTAGGACCATTATTCTGTGTGATTCTATTTTTAACTCCACGCAGTCGAAACTCCTCGAACTTAGAATTCGTTTACGAAGCCAATTGAAGTTCTTTTAAGGGAAAGTAAAGATACATAATTTGAGTTTTCGGATAAAGAGACTAAGGAGGTGTGCGTGTGTATTCCAATTATTTCATCATTTTATGCTTAGAAAGTTTAAAATTGTGAAATTTAAATATCACAACTTCGAATTCGTGCTGATTTTAGACGGTTTATGTAGATGTTAGCATAAAACAGAATGCATGCAGCGATATAACCGCGATGACGCAGGCAAACAACGTATCTATGCGTAATCGAAATTGTGGCGCGTGTGGAACAGTTAAATAACTATGGCAACAATGAGAGTTACATGTAGCAAGCAAACAAACGCTTAACCAATGCGTTATTTGCCGAACACTAAAAGCGTTGCTTTGGCTACATATGTACAAATTCTGTTGTGCATTCGAATATTTCAATACAACACTGCTGTCGTTGTGGTTTTGTCAATCTGTGCAAATACACAACCATACAAATGCTAGCCAACACAATACGAAGTTATATAGATAGTACATATATATGTATGGATAAAGGCTGTTCCTTAAAATAGCTACGAAAATTTCAAATTTCAAAAATATTTTTAGGGGTCGATACCAGGGTTTGACAAAATTTTAAATTTTTTTAAATTGCGAAAATTTCACATAATTTTTACTAGAAATCTGATAAGTATAAACAAATTCATAAACTCGCTGGTTTACACATAGCTGGTCAAAGTCAATTTGGAAAAAATTAAATTTTTTTTAACATTGGTAGCGATCTCTGAATTTTTATTTTTCTTTTATTTATTTATTTTTTCTTTTGTGGATGCCTGTACTTTGCGCGTAGAGCCACAAAAAACTGCGCCCTATGATGTTGATATTTTGACGGCCACCCTAGTATGTATTTGGTATATCGATTACATAAGGAGATACATAGTATATGTACGCTATTGTCATCGCTGACGCATTCGCATCTTTCGCTTGCCATCAACACCCATGTCGCCGGTTTGGCCACAGGCTTTTGTGTGTGTAGTGTGGTATTTGTACAAGCAATTTATTTGCATGTGTATATGTTTGCCTTAAGCGAATGTGGGTTTATTTTACTGTTGAGTGACTGACTGACTGCGGTTTTTGCGGCGCTTGACAACATCACATACGCAAACTAACGCACAGATACTGTACATTTATATTTTGGTTTGTAGGATTTTGCCAACGTTAAGCGATGCGTTCGGTATTTGTGGCAGCACATAGTCTTTTTACATGACTGCAATAGTATGAATGTACATTAGAGTGCATCACTCTCCATACAAAAAAAAAAAAATAAAATAAAATCGGTACCATTTTATCATTGGAACTATAAAATATATATATATATATATATATAATATATTAAGAACTACGTAAACATTTGAAAATACCCCCAAAATCGACTTTTTTATAAATAAATTTAGTTTTTCAAAATTCTTCTAAAAAATTGCTTCAGTGCATAGAAAAGTAAAGCTCGAAAGCTTGGAAGCTTTTTATAAATTTTATCAACGGAATGATAATAACGATATTTTTTTCAAACACATTCTGGCCGAAGTCCTAAAATATAAGTTTTATGATTCCTGTAGGAAAACCGCTACCTTTTTTTTAGTGATGCACCCTAATGTACATATGTATATTTACAAACTCATAGATGGCAGTTAGTTTTCCGGCGACGTTTTGTTTCACAAATATGCGCATGCGAATTATCTTCGTACCCTAACAGAATGTAGGCTTAGGAATTTGCCGTCAATGGCATGGAGTTCGCGTAGTTCATGGTTTTGCAATTTTCATAAATTACTTTTATTACACGCGCACACAGAAAATATTTTATTTGTCATATGCATGCTTGTGGTAAGCGAATGCTGTAGCAAACTTCAACGACCGCACGCAGAAAGCCGGCAAATCAACGGCGTTGAAACAAAATTACAAATATGCTAAAAAAAAAATCAATTTCTTTAAATACGCCACGTTTTGTATTACATTTAAATTCATTCGGCATTCAGTACGCAATTTGCATCAGCATTCAACAAGCTACAACAATCAGCATACACAATTTCGGTATAATTTTTATGTTGAACGTTTTATGTTGCTACATTTTTATTCGCAATGCCATGCGAACGTTCGTAAGTCACTAAAATACACACAAGTATGAACAGAGGCTTACATGTATGTACATAAATACCCCAATGCGCACACTTGTATATAAATAATTTATTTTAATGTGTTAACAC